TGGATGGCGAGATGGGATGGTGGGATGGGTGGCGAGATGGGATGGTGGGATGGATGGCGAGATGCGATGGAAGAGAAAGGAGGAAGAAGGAGGAGGAAGAAGGAGGAAGAAGGAGGAAGAAGAAGGAGGAAGAAGGAGGGAGAAGAAGGAGGAAGGAGGAGGAGGAAGAAGGGATGGATGGCGAGATGGGATGGATGGATAGCAAGATGTGATGGAAGAAGGAAGAAGAAGGAGGCAGAAGAAGGAGGAGGAAGGAGGAGGACGATGAAGGAGGAAGAAGAAGAATGAAGAAGAAGAACGAAGAAGAAGGAAGAAGAAGAAGAAGGAAGAAGAAGAAGAAGAAGAGAAGAGGAGTGGAGGAGGGGGAGGAGGACGGCCTTTGTTTTTTATTTCCGTTCGTCGTTCGCGAGAACCGCCTAAGGTCACCGAAGATGTGCCCTGCCCCAAACAGCCAAAGGCCAAAGAAGATAAAGATCGTCGTTAACTGCCGAAGGTCGACTGATGCAAAAAGAAGAAGAAGAAGAAGAAGAAGAAGAAGAAGAAGAAGAAGAGGAGGGGGGGACAAAGGGGAAGACGAAGAAGAAGAAGAAGAAGAAAGATTGTGGGGGAAGAAGAAGAAGAACAACAACAACAACAAGAAGAGGAAGAAGAAGAAGACGAAGAAGACGAGGGGAAGGCTCGACGTGCCTGACGGCCTCCCTTCTGTTTTTCTTACCTTCCGAGTCTCGCACGACCTAACCAACGTCCATGGTACACAAGAAGAAGAAGAAGAAGAAGAAGAAGAAGAAGAAGAAGAATGGCGGAAGCTCCTGCGAACGGCGACGGGCGAAGGGGGCAGCTACTGCAAACGGCGATGGGCGACGACGACCGGCTTCAGCTGACGACGACGACGAGCAGCGGGCGAGGAAGACGAGCTCCTGCGAACGGCGACGACGAATGACGAAGGGGGCAGCTCCAGCGAACAACAACGGGCGGCGCAACTTCGAAAGGCTGCGGGTCGAAGGGGGCAGCTCCAGCGAACACCCACGGACGGGCTGTGGGCAAGATCGCCGCCATTCAAATCTGGGCGGGAAACTTGCGACGGCTGTGGCTGTCGATGAAGGCGGATCGACGGCCACAGACCCGCCGCACTTTTCAAACCCACTCCCACAGGCCTATCGGGCCCGATGCCGCGGGTTTTTGGGCCGGTCGGACCTGGTAGGCCTGCGGGAGCCCACCAGCGTTCGAAATGGGGTCGAAAAACCCCAAAATACCCTGTGCGCTGGGGGGGGCCGGGGACCGGCCGGGTGCACTGCCCGGCCAGGCCGCCCTGGACCCCACCCGGGCCCCCGCCTGTTACGGACTTCGCCAGGGCTCGATCCCTGGTCTATCTTTTGCTGTTTCGGCTGCATCCCGTTTTAGGCCTGGCACCCCTTTTCCAAACCCCTCCTTTTGGTACCGTAGGATTTTGKACAACTGGCGCCATGYYGCAATTCGGGCGCCACTTTCAAATACTGCATTTTTCAGTTCTGCCCTCGGGGCCTTTGCAGAAATGCCCCCGGTACCGTACGTGTCACCGGTACTTATACCGGCTCCCCGTACGGTACGGGGACCAGTCTCGTACCAGTTCTCTGCTGCTGTACTTGTACTCAGTGTGACTTGCCGTTTCGGCATTGGGAATCCAAGACTTCGACTTTGTGCCTTGCCACTGTGTCTGCGTCCAACCCTCAGTTCGAGTCCGTCGTGTCGAGTGAGTGAGTGTGTGTGTGTGCTCTCACTCTCTCCCTCTCTCTCTCCTCTCCCTCGGCTCACCCTCAGCCTCACTCCCGTTACACCGCCGGTCCGCTGGGCGGCCCGGAACCCCACCCAGCTTCATAGTCTTTAAAACAGCCTATGACGACGTGGATGGGGAGTTTTTGAACTGTTGCGGCGCAGTGTTGCCTAAATAAAATGAACTTCAGGGAATACTTCAGGTCTTGGGTATGCAGTCAAGTCTTGGGTTGCTTTTGTGCATAAATCAGCAACTAACATAATGGTGAATGGGCATTTGTCGCCTCCCTTTCAAACTCTATCGCTCAGTCAGGCAGCGCGACCCACTCACCATCCTGCTCGTCAGCTTGCTAATGGAATCATTGGCAGCCATGAAAAGAGCGAACCCCATAACAGAAAGGATACAAATCCCAGAAAACCTTCCACAACGGATACCAGGCACTTCTTTGTTTACGGACGACTTTGAAGCATCGGCAACTACTGTAACTGCTCTGGCGGATACAATTTGGCTGTTTTCGGTACCAATACATATGAAAGTCAACTGGGGAACAAAAGCAGAAGGCTGGTGGTTACACCCATGAGAACAGGATCCACCACAAACACCTAGAGTCAACTGGAAGGCAAAGGAAGGAGCCATAAGGATCCTGGGAGTGCGACTAACCGCCTTGGACCCCCGAAAGGGCCATGGAGAAGTGCTGGTTGAAACGGCCTTGACGAACATGATAAAGTGGAAAAGGATTCACACATCATTAGTAGCTAAGTAGCAAATCCGGATATCCGGCAGACCAATTTTATCCGGAATTTTCAATCCGGATGAAATTTCCGGATTAATTCCGGATATGGAAAATCCGTCCCTGTGCAAAAAAAAAAAATTTACCGAAAAACAAAAAACTCAAAAAAATCTGGAAAAAAATTATGTTGTTCATATCAATGATATGAACAACTTTTGGCTTGAGACTATCGTTGATTACTCAACAGATATGAAGATAACAGGACAAGCAAATAATATTTAAATAAAAAGTTATAGAATGAATTAAGCATCCCCCCTCTCCCCTTTATTCCTTATCTTATACCCTTTGAACCCTTCGAGGCCCTATCAAGCTTTTCATGAAATAGGAACGTAGTTCTATTGTATTTTGTATGCGCAATATCAAAATTTTTTATTTTTTATTTTTTGCTTTTTTTAGGTTTTTTTTTTAATCATCCGGATTTCCGGATGATCCCACCCCCCGATCATCCGGCCAAATAATCCGACCAGATTATCCGGCCAGATAACCCATGCTACCTAGATTAGTAGGGAGAGCTCTGGAAATTAACAATGGTATCCTACTTAATGATACAAAACGACCTTCTGGCAAATTCTGGATAGACATAACAAAGCTGAAGGCTGAAGCAGTTGCGTACCTATGGAAGAATGACTGAAAGTAAATTGCATCAAACATGTGGCTTGGAACCACGTGGCCCAACCAAACATGGTAGTGGGCCTGGGCATTATAGACCTGAAGGACGAGATAAAAAGCAATGACTTCCACAATAATCATAGGACTGCTGCTGGCTAGAGACATCCGTTGGATCCTATTAGCCTACTATGGATCAGCCACCTGGCACCCGTCCGCTCAAGAAAGAACAGTCCACCCCCTGGCATGGTTAACGAACATGCATGAACCATACAGGGGCCACCAAGGTTGCGCACAAATGATACCCCATACAATAGGGCCAGGTGGGATCTGAAACAGGACCCCCTACAGGCACACATTATCGCCCTATGGAAAGAAATGTGACCTTCTAAAAGGTCAACCTCTCCTAGGTGGCACGAGGTATGGAGGCAACCGGTGTTTGACCCAAGAACTTCGGCCTGGCCAAAAGCTACGACCCTAAACTCATGCTGTCCTGGTTTTGACCTTGGTTCCGTGCAACTAGGACTTGGCTGGTTCTTGCGTGGCTGGGCTGCATGGTTAGCCCCTCAGGCAGGTGGGGCTGCTCTTGAGCCGCCTGGTTGGTCCCTTGCTTTGTTGACATCCAACAAGGGAGCATTCATGTGTATGGGATTTACAGTTTAAACTTTAAAGTTTGAACTGCTCTTGTTTCATTAATTGAGATCCTTATGGAGTCTAAGAACCAGTCAGCTAAAGGCCAGGGAAGCTAGCTGCTTAAATCTCACTCTCAAGTGTTAATGTTTTCGAGTTCTCACACAAGATTCATGGGTTTCCTCTCTTCGACTTTCAAGTTAATCAATGACCTTGAAGCATCACGATGTTTTACCGAACTTCTTACTCTGTTGGAATCTGCAACCTTTTCTGTTGTCTGCTGTCAACTGCTTGGGTTTCCCATGGATGGCCTAAGATTGAGCGAATGGATTCGCTCTTTGAGTCACAATTCTCACCGCTTGCAGCATCTGGTAAACCATTGTCCAAATGCGGGAAGTGCATGCGCTACATGAAGTACATTCCATTGCGACCATCGCGGCTATTTTGCCCTACCTGTGAGGATGTCTATTTGCTTCCTCAGAATGGTACCATAAAGGTATTCCTCGTCCAATCTCTCTCTCTCTCTCTCTCTCTCTCTCTCTCTCTCTCTCTCTCTCTCTCTCTCTCTCTCTCTCTCTCTCTCTCTCTCTCT